AGCCCCTGTATTACATATTGATATCTTCAAAGTGGTTTCTCAGGAAAATGAATAGAGACATGCAAGACTGATCAAACAAGTAATCACTAACTGTTCCTTTCTGGAGAGCAATAGGAGACAGTAGTACAACTATGTTAGCTATCCTGTATATACGTACTTACATAATTTCCCCTTCTTTCCCTTCTCTTTTCCCACACCCCAGCTGCCCTTTACTTTTGAGCATTTTCCTTTCGTTTCACCCCGATTTCTTTTAGCTTGGCTCGTTCTTTCCTTCCTTGGCGTACTCATGTTCATGCTCTAAGACTTCAAGCCTAGTTTCCCTTATTGAGAAACCCTTCCTTGCACCTCTCCCTGGGTCTCATCTCTCATCTCTGTGCCATGCATGTTGTCCCATCGTTAGTAGAGCTGACCTTGTTGCTTCTGGTCTTTATCTCCCTGTCATCAGCAACCCGGTGCGTGTCCCAGACCAGTATATTAACTGGTCAGGACCGAACTCTCAAATCCTGGGTTCCTGGAGCTGATAGCCCTCCTCTGACAACCAGCACCCCCCTCACCTGGCCTTGTCGAGTGCTAGCCCATCTAGTAGAAAGCTACAATATTCTGATTCATCTTCAGTTCCTTATCTAGCTTTTGGTCTCAGAGTGACTTAATCATGTCAAGGCAATGTCTCTACTCTGGAGCAGTAACCGAAACTTGTCTTGATTCACAGCTTTCATACAGCGTGAGAAAGGCTGTGATCACTCATGGAAGCCCTTCTGCATTGCAGGTGATGCGACAGTGACCATAGCCCACAGGTGCACCCCCAGGGCGCAGCTGAAGACCCAGACGCAGCTGGCGGACATCATCGTGGTCGCTGCAGGTGGGCCCTTTGTGGTGTTTTGTGGGGGAAACAGCGCAGCAGAGCAGGTCTTGTGCTAACTGCTCACATACTGGAGAGAACAGCTTCTTGGGAGAGGAGTAGGTAGGAGTATGAGCATCTGTTCCTTCACTGTGGAAAATGCAAGTAGTTTGGATGACATAGTAGGCACAAGAAGCTGTTCTTTGAGACCAAAAGCTAGATAAGGAACTGAAGATACTGTGGCTGGCAGAGAAAAGAAATAAAACTTGTAAGTGATGTTCATGAAAATAGAACATCCTGAGAGGAAGAGACAGACAGACAGACAGACAGACAACTGCTGGCCACTCTGGGGCTGCAGTCCACACTCGGAGGGCAGAGCTGATGGACTGGACCATGTCTGGGGAGGGTGCGTCCGCAACAAGGGCGCGTGCTTGGTCTATAGGGAAGAAAAGGTGACTTAAAGAAGATACAAAAGAGGTTTGTCTTCAACAGAAGGAAAAAAAGCCAAACCCACTCTTTTATCATAATGAGAGCTGCAAGTTATCAGCACCTGAAACAGCCAGTTCCCCCTCCCCAAAATGATTAGGGAGATGGAGGAAAATATAATTATTTATCAACTCTTCCCCCATTTTAATGACAAAAACATTTTGCGCCCTTTTGAACATTATTAATATTTTCGTAGATCAAATAGCACACATGTAAGCAGCTGTGGCTATTTTGGACATGTGTTCTCTGCGGAAGTGTTATCATCCTTCCCTCCTGATGTTCAGGACCCTTGTAGGAAATGCCTGTTTATTGAGCACAGGGTTCAAAGGGCTCAGAGAATTCTATTTTTTTTTTTTTCAGTTCTGAGATTCTGTTATTCTATAGTTTAATATATGAAATGGAGCTTTAAGAAATATAACGTGTGCGTATCTATTGTCAAAGTGTTTACATTTATTTGTGGTATTCTACAGAATAAGTGGACAAAAATGATATTATAGAACCTAGAAAGGGCTGTGTGTGGATTATTCACACGAGGAATTCAACAGTTTCTTGCGTTATTTTGCTTGTGTTAAACATCAATACATTTGGATAACGAATGAATTCATTCAGCAGACTCTGGGCCCTTGCTGTGAGGCGGAAGCTGTTTTGTCTTGTGTAGGAATGTAGTAGGCAATGTGAATGACAGAATCGCAGCCCCTGTGCAGCTTATGTTTTAGAGGAAGAGGTAGAAAATAAAACAATGGCCTAGTGTGACACCAAGTAGAGATGCGCGTGTGGTGGGGTGGGGAGGATGTGCACATGGGTTGACATTTAGGCCAGTGAGGCTCTTCCGCCAGGTGGTCTTTAGTGTAGGGTCCTTTTCATAGCCCTTCCCTGCTTGCCAGGCAGACTCCCACTCCACCCTGTCCTGCCATGACCCAGAGAGTGTTTCTGTACTACTGGCTCCTGGCAAGGTTGGTTACCCTGGGAGATCCAGGGGAGGAGGAGAGAAAGAACAGGACCGGCTATTTCTTCTCTCTTCCTACTTCTCCGCACTGCCCACTTCCTCCTGTGTCATGGTTCTGCTGGTAGCCTCCTGCAGCTCTGGTTCCCACTGAGCTGCAGGGACACTGCTCCTTCAACCTGCCCCTTGGGCCCAGGGATAGGTAGGCACCTCGTGTTTCCAGTGGCCAAGCTGCTCAACAGCCCTTGTGCTTCTGTTAACCCAGAATGTGCCCCCAGGACAGCTCCTTCAGGAATCTCTCTTCCTACGAGAGTCAGAGCTGGACTCTGCGTCCTCTGGGGACACTGCTGGTATAGAGCTGTATGAAAGGAAGGCACAAATGCAGGAAACATGGGAAGGAGAGCCTGCCACATAGAGGGAAGAGCACACACCGAAGTTCCTAAGAGGAGCCCACATTGTGTGTTCCAGAGCACAGAGCTTGAGTTTAATCAATTAGGAGGGGTGTGTGTAGGGAACGCTGTTGGGCGGGTACCAAGGTTAGTTCAGGTGGGACCCTGAGGGCAGTGATGATCCCCGCCATGAGTAGAAGAGTGGGAGAGTAGGAGAGTGGGAGGTGGACCCTTACAGATCATGCAGGCTCACACAGGTGTGCGACAGAGAACCGATTCCAAAGAGGTTAGAGCCGAAACAGAGATCAAACCTACTGCAGTTCACTGAATGGATCCAGGTTTTCCCCTAACTTGTTTTATATTTAAATATACAAAGCAACACTACCCTCAGCATCCGCCTCATGCCTGGCACACAGCATTTCTACTTCGTAGACGGTCCTAACTGCTTTACCCCAGGCTTGGGTGAGAGCTTTTACTGTTTTTCTCATCAATCAGCTATTACTGGCAATTTCTAGACTTTAAACTCAAATTTTTATGCATTGACTAACTCTGAAGGGAGGGTAAAAGTTCCAGAAGAAATAGTTTGACGAGGAAAATACTGATAGTTCACAGTAGGTTCAACCAAATTAACTCAATTCCTTGCTTTCATATTGGCTGTTTTTTTGGAACCCAGATTGTAACTGTGGTGCAGAAGGAGTAGTAATTTTCTACTCACAAAATAAACATAGAGACAACCCCTTTTCAGGACTCATCAGAAAGGGGGTGCACCTAATTACAGCTCAGAAGTTATGTTCGGGTGGTAGCAAGTGCAGATTTTTGAAAGGGGTGGGCAGAAGTCACATGTGATTAGAGAAGTAATGGCGCAGTGATGGCAAACCTTTTTAGAGCTTTCGGGAATAACAGACAGTCCCCGGGGCACGCGTGCTGTAGGTTTGCCACCATGCAACAGTGTGTTTCAGACCACAGATCAAGGCACGTGAAATGCCACCACAGTTGCTTACACACACACACACACACACACACACACACACAAACACACACACACGGCTTGGCATTGGCTAGTGGAGAATAAGTTTCCTTCTGTATGTCTTGACAGAGTGAAGTTTGCGTCATATTTTGACACCGGTTTGACACTATGTCAGCAACTCCCAAGGAACACAGCACAGGTGCCCTTGATTTCCATTTACGCATTCTAATATTGGGACAGTATTTTCTTCTTGTGGGGCAAATGCCTGAGGTTTTTTTGTTTTTTAACTTTAAAGAGAATAAAAAAATAATAATGCACAAAATTAGAAATGATACAGAAATTCAAAAAAGAAGATGAGATGAATTCCACAATGGTTGTTATGTGCCTGAGTTTTGTTTCGTTGCAACAAATGGCACATGGGCGATTGCATGCCCTTGGAAGACCTGTTAGTTCTCGTGTGACTAAACATGCCTGCTGTCACAAGTCACCATGCCAACATTGTCCCTGTCCTTGAGTTTCTCCCATAGCTTCCTTTCTAAAGGCCTAAATCAGACATGGTGTTTAAAAAGGAGAGAAGAAAGGAAGAAGAGAAAGAATAAAGGGAGGGAAGGAAAAGGAAGCACCACACTTAACAAACTAAGAGCCAGGAGGTGTAGCGTCCCCCGGTATGACTGCGGGGCCTGGCCCTGTGCTGCCGCTGTCCCCCCGGGATCCTCTGACTGACCTAGGGCTGCGGTCAGAGAGCAGTGATTTTAGATACAGGGACATTGGCCACAAACCATTCTAGCCCTGGCCAGAGGCATTCTGAGGGAAGATGAGGGGAACAGCTCTGTCCCCAGCCTAGGTTCCACACAGAGATGTGCCAGATGTCAGGAGATGGTCCTCAGGTAGCCCTGTCCTCAGCCGGGAGAAAGAAGTATCTGGTGGATAGGAAATTTCAGGGAAGGAGATTGCGGCTTTATGAGAAGTGACTGCACACCACTGCATTTCCACTGCATTACTCAGACCAAACACAAGTTAGTGAAAAGAAGATTCCAAATAACCAGGCGATAGAAGCAAAGTCTCACCAAGGTGACCATGCGGCACGCTGTGTGGGAAATGGACAAATGCCATTAGCCGTGGGTCGTAGGACGGCGATAGCGATCTAATGGCAGAGGCAGCTGCAGCAGGGCGGGCCAGGTCGTGTCGTCACCGGGCGTCAGCATATATGGAAGTAGCCCAGTCCAGGAGTCAGGAAGAGTGGAAGGAGGAGGAGGAGTTCATGCAATGTCAGAAAGATTGATGAGGTTTCAGAGATGACAGTGAAGCATGTGCTGATGAAATCTTGAATAGACTTGCAGAAGAAAAAGGAAAAGGAGAAGTCGTGTGAAGATCCTGAGGCATGCACGAATTAGCGTATGCTAATAGTAATCTCCTCCCTCCTGTTTCTCATGGGCTAATATACTGTGTGTGTGTGTGTGTATATATATATATAATATATATATATATATATATATATAAATACTTCTGTTTGCAAATGAAATTGTTTGAAAAAAAAATTCATGAACCAAGGTACCACTGTATTTAGAATGATACTTGGCACATAGTGGCTGCCTAATTAATGTTGCGGCATTGATTTTGAGATTGTAAATGGAATGGGCACTGTCTCAAATCCAAACAGACTTAGCTGATACATTTTAGGGTCCTTTTTAAAAGTTGCAGTCATTATGCTAGTTACTGGTGATTTACGTAGTGTAGCTCTATTTAGGGGAGCAATTAATTATTCCTAGTTTGTCATTGTAATGTAGTTCGTTAAATCTAAACGATGAAATATTTGTTCATAAAAGAATAGTTCGTGACATAAGGGGATGAGTGGACTGATTTGAGTTTGGTGTTAAAATTAAAACTAAGGGATTATGAGAAGGTAGAAGAAAGAGGAGACAGTCAGCTGCATGGAAGGAACTTAGAATGGAAGGACAAGTTAGCTTTCCTGGAGGCCAGTAAGGAAGAAGGGACCACTAGCTTGAACAGGACATCAGTTCTAAGGTTGCACCAGGAGATCCTTGGATCTTCTTGTACGTCATGCTTCAAGACCATAGGGGCGTGGTGGTGTTAACATGTTAGGTTCATAAACATGCTTGGAATCTTCATTACCAGACAGGATAGGCAAATGTTTTACAGACATGGCCCCGTGGACCCTGCAGTAATCTGAGTGAAGTCTCTGAACTAAGCTCATCCAGGAGCTGAGCAGCTGAGT